AAACTTGGCCTGATCCGTCGTCCGCGCTTTTGTTCGTTGTGAAAAAAAAGGAAAAAAAAGAATTCCCTCGTGGAGAGAGGGAGGGAGGCTGACATGGCGTAGCGATGAAATACCATCGGTAAAAACGTGAAAAATTGCTATCGATTGCTATGTGAACAATTCCAATATCGCAGCACCGTTCGCTCTCTTTCGTTAAAACTGGAACCCGTGAAAAAAGAAAGGAAGGAAGAAAGAAAAAAAGGAAACGAGAGGAAGGAGGAAGGGAAATACGAATCGAAAAATGTGAACACGGGCGCTAGGGAGTTATTTTAATTACCCGATCGAATTTTTGAAAGGAGCCCGCTCTATCTCGGGGACTCGATCGGGTCGGGTGTATCGGGCGGAAAGGATCGAACGGTTTTCCACGGGGTCTGGAATCGACAACGAGAGAAATTCCGTCGGCCTGTTCCCGATTCCGAAAAACACGCGCCCACGCGTTACAAGCTTTCCAAAACGAACGCCCCCGCCCCGGGCGTTTTACAGATAATTAACTGACATTAACGTTTCGTCCGGACAGGATACGCCGCTCGTATTTTCTCCCCTACCCCTTGCGCCGCACGCATATTTCCACGGTGGATAAGCATCGCTTTTCCACCACCACTCTTCCCCACCGCTCGTCTCTTTTTTTTTTTTATTTCTCCTCTTCTTTGTCCCTCTCTCTCCGTCCCTCTCTCTCTCCCTTACCTCGAATTCTCCATTTGATCGGTCTGCTCGATGATATTTGTGAATTTGTTCGTATATATATATTTTTTTTTTACATGTACATTTATCTTTCTCTCTCTCTTTTTTCCTCTTTTTTTCATCTCGTTCACGCGGGAGTGTATCGAGGCTTTTCTTTTACGATCCGTAATTAAGGTCAAACGGGGTGGTAAAACGCCTCCTTTTTCACCGGGAATCGCCTTTTTGCCGATTCGGAATCGATCCGCGGCACCGGCCTCGCCGATGTTATCGCGACATCGATTACGTTTCAACGCCCCGTGCGATAAAATAGCGGGCTGCGTGGGCGGTTGTACGTTTAATTGGGGACAACGGAGGGCTGGATAAAGTAACCAGGCCCGTAGTATTTCACCTCGGGTATCGTGCAATTTTATCAACAGGGAATTTGGTGCCCCTCCTCTTTTCTCCTTTCTACGAGCGTGTTTCACAATCGAAAGAAAAGAAACTGGGTCTTATAATCGGGGATAACGATTGATTCGATGAAAACGAGAGAGAGAGAGAGAGAGAGGAGGTTGGAGGTTGCGAAACGCGCTACGTGATTGGAAATGGCGGACTCGATCGCAATAATTGGCTTTCCTCGACGAGGATACGTATCAATTGCTCGCCTCTTTCGTGTGCAGTTTCTTCAAATTTGCCGCGTAGTCTTTCGTTAACAGGGAATTTCGATTATGTCTTGTTATCGTTTACGAAATCTCTCGCTTAAGAAAACTATCGTTACGTTGAATTTAAGAGAATCGAATTAGAGAATTAGTCAGCCGGGACGACATCTTCGACAACGTGTAATCAAGATAATCGAGCTTGCTCCCCTGTATAATTATGATTTCTCGTACCAACTACTGAAAATAATTAATTAACCGGATTACGGAGTTAATGATTCATATATAAAACAGCAAATGATTTGACTTATCGATCGATCTATCCGTACACTCGATACGAGTAAAACGTGTTTATGCAAAGTAAGCGACATTGCGTTAATCCTTCTCCCCCACTACCACTACCACCACCAGTGGACGTGGATCGAACCAAATACAGACAGATTCCTTAAGGAACTACCAGCCCTCGAGAGAGAGAGAGAGAGAGAGAGAGAGAGAGAGAGAGAGAGAGAGAGAGAGAGAGAAATCCCACCGCGATTTTTTCCCCCTTTCTAAACTCATCCTCCTTCTTTTTATTCCTTTTTCTTTTTTCCGTTTCAAAAACCGGTACCCGGCAGAACGAAATCAATCAAGGGAGAAGCGTACCGCGTTCGAACACGAGACACGACGTTAAATCTTCCACGATAATAAATCCTCGCGGCCCGTCGTCTCGCGGACTACCGACACGCAACGTTGCATCGAAAACGAAAAAAAAAAGAAAAAAAAAAAAAAAAAAAAAAAAAAAAAAAAAAAAAAAAAAAGAAAGAAAGAATCTCACTGGAAGAGAGAACGAATCGATATCACCCTCTCCTCCTCCTCCTCTTCCTCGCGTATCGGTCCTCCATCATTCGCTAAACAGCTCGATGTGGGCCGTAGGCTCAACATGGCTTAACATCGTGTCCTGGAGACGAGCGAAAGAGAGGGGGAGGCGACACGGGCCATTGTTCGATAAAGTCTGGGAGCCGCGGATTATAACTAATGGAACGGAGATGCGAGGGAGAGACAAATGGCGGGTGGAGGCAACCCGCGACGCGTGTCCCGGGTTGGTGCGATCGGGGGGGCGGGAGGGGGAGATCCTTGAGGGCGGGTGCCGCCAATAAAATATGCATGCACGCTCGCGGATCCGTGTAGGTACCGGTTGCTTTACATCCCACGAGACGTTGTACGCGTAGACGTTTCGCGTGTATTAATCTGCATAAACTCATTGCTATGCAAACGAAGAGATTCCGCGTCGAACTAGGATATCACACGGAGGGCTTACACCCGTGGCTTAACCCGCGGGCCCCCCTCCCTACCCTTAACCCGGGTTCCCTCTTACGCGTATGCACGAGGTAAACGAGGCAGGTAGCACGGATGTACACGGGTATATGTACGTGTGTGTGTGTGTGTGTGTTTGTGTGGGTCGGGTACGTAGAGAGATACCGATCGCGAAACGGACCTTCTTCTCTCGTCGCGTCGATGGAATAATAATCGCGAAACGCTTGGGCCCACGATCGAGACAACGACGCGTCGCATACCTCCCCGTCGAGCATCGATAATCCGCTTTCACCCCCGAGCCGAGATGAAAAGAAAACAATCGACGAATAATTTCGTTATTGGAAGGGATAAAGGGTGAAGGGGGAGGGGTATCGATCGGAATGTTTTAAACCGAGAGTCACCACCACTACGTGGAAACGTGTCGAAACGAAACGCGTTCCGTTTCTTCTTCTTCTTTCTTTTTCGAAGCGAGGTTTCATCGTTTTTTTTCATGCGCCGGATGAGATCTCGCTGCCCGTGAGGGAGAAAGTTCATCCGCGATAGGCGGTAATAACAGGCGGTTGAAGCACTTTGTTTGATCAGCAATCGAGGCTACCGCGCACTTGCGCGTCTCGTTCAACAATTCCTCGACCGAGGAGTTGAAAGAATTTTCCAAGGGAGGTAGGAGAGGAGAGGAGAGGGGAGGAGAGACGCGCAGGTATATGGTATATAGGTATAACGTATACGAAGCGTACGAGGCGTACACGCGTCAAACTGTTGTGAATTTTCCACCGCGTAAGTCGTAAGTCGCCGCATGTATGTTTAATGGGGAGAGCGCGAGGCCTACGACCGGCCGACTTCTTACTACCGTCTCGCCCGTTACTTATTCACTTCCGGCGCAATTACCGCTGCGCACTCGATCAAAGTCCAAACGCGGGGAATCGCCCCCCTCCCGTGTATCGTATTCCACGTCTTTTCTCTCGCATCCGCGAAACATCGAGCCGCGCGTTGTCCAACTAATATATCCGTAGCCATCTACCGCCGCGCGACCGAATTAATTATTCGAGTTTGCCCCGTGTCTCGTGACACTGCCTGTGTACACCGTGTCTCGAGATTGCGTCAGTCGCGCGATCGGTTAACGGTAAGTGACACGAGGATACGTAGTCAAACAAGCGTAGCGGCTTTGTTCTGTATCTCTCGTGCGATAATGTGCTGGAAGCTGAATTACTTTTTTTTTTTTTTCTTTTAGAAATTTTTAAATCGTTCGTCGTTGAACAACGACGTTTGGTACCGTGTATTTTAAGCGAAACACTTTGAACACGAGTACGTCTAGAAGTCTGTTATTATTAAAGATTCAAATTTTAATTCGACCGAGACAATTCGGCGCAAATTGTGTTGTGAAACATCGAGCGTATTTAGATGGCGTACGAGAATCCGTCAAATATTCAAGGACCGTAATTAGAGTGTAGAGTCTGTATCGGTTTTAATAGAACACCCCGTCTGCCGCTAAATAAAAATCGGTTGACATCGGCAAAACGACCTCGGGCAGCCCTTCAGGCCTGTTTTTTAAACGCGTTATTTTTCGAGTTTTCAACTCGGTTCTGTTAGTTTCGGCTTATGAAACTTTGTTTTATCGACGAAAAACGTTTCGTATCGCGTTTGTCGCTCCCTGCATTTAAAAAGCTCCGCGCGTTTCCGCAAAACGAGATAAAACATGTTAATGCTTGAGAAGTAGAGATTTTTTGAATTTAAATTATTCGTACCACACCATTCGTTCTCCCCTCTTCCCCTCGTTCGAAGAACGGCGAATTAACGAGCGAACGTGAATTCCGTACTAATTTAATAATCGGTCCGCGTTTGCCGTACGAATCGAAGCCTCGCTCGTCCCAAAGATTTCGCAAATCCCCGTATTAACCGCAAATCTCTAATCGCGGATCCTTCCGTGCAAATTTCATAATCCACGCTCTCTTTCACGAGGAGCTTATTCTCCAAAGATTTGCGAATCAGCGCAACAAGTGAAAAATCAATATCGAAATCCAACGAGGTAAATTGAAAAACGATCCCGTGGTATTTTCATTTCGAGATAAAATCGATGATCGACACTCGACTTTCTCACCGTTGTCATCTCCCCTCGAGTATCCTTCCCCATAACGAAGTCGGGGGAACTTGGCCGGGCGCGAGAGGCGTTCGAACGAAACGAACGAGCGAGGAACAACGAGACTCTCGCCGCCACTCGAACGTCTACCCCCTAGGCTACGCACCTCGTAACCGCGTTGTTAGAGATCTCTCCCTCTCTCTCTCTCTCTCTCTCTCTTTCTCTCTCCTAACATTTCGCTGTATTTTTTTTTTTTGTTTTTTTGTTTTTCATTGTTCCAGGTTGACGAGGCAGAAATGGCACGGGCGGAGTCACGGTGAGGAAAGGGCGAGGGTGAAGCCCTCGCGCGAAACGGGAGCTATGGTGAAAAGCTTCGGTTTCTTCTTCGCCGGGAGGGCGATACCTGCCGTCCACCTTATGCTTTTTCTCGTTCTGGCCGACAGCACGGTGGCCGTAGACCTTTGTAAGTAACCACCACCTGTGTAATCTGCTCGTCCCCCGTCCAACCTTTACAGTTTTCATCGCGAAAACTTGCCCCATAACTTATTAACGAGCGAAACGATCGCCTCCGCGGCGATGTACCACGTGGCGCTTCACCGCAGTCGACGAACTTTCGATCCGCCGCTGGATTTACAACCGCCCGTCCCTCTCCCTCTCTCTACCTCTCTCTTGCGGCACGGTGGTAGCCTCCTCGAATTGGAAACTTTTCGAGTGAAACTTTTGCGCGGTCGAGCGTCGCGGCTCGCGACGACCACCGCCGTTGGCGGGTGGATCGGTAACTCGTGAGCTGCTATCAGAGATCGATACCGGAGGCTTTGTGCATCGACGACAACCGTTCGATTTCGTTCGATCCGAATTACTTGGGGATCGATCAATCTTCCACTGTTTCGAATCGAAAATCGAGTCTTGTAGTTCGCGCCACGAATATATGTGAGCCAGAGAATTCGCATCTCGCGTTTAACTTTTTACACCCTTGCGTTAGTTTGAAATTAAATGTATGTCTGCGAGTCTGTATTTTTCGTCGTTGCGTCGAATGAGATTCGAACGTTTGACAATATCCTTTTTCTTTTTTATCGCAGATTATGGTTGTGAGTGTGAAATTGATACGTCGAATTTTATCAATTTCGAAGGAGGGTTGTAGTAATTCTTCCGCGGAGAAAGAGTAATTTTCAAAGATTTCTAATCCGAAGATGAAACGCGAAATATCAAGTATGATGTAATGGAATTTTATTCGATCGTAAAATAGCACGTACAACCTGAAAATACCCTTCTTTCTCTCTTTTTCTCTCTTTCTCTCTCTCTCTCTCGTTCAAAATATTCCTTTCACAAGGGATAGCCGAATATCTCTACTCTAGTGGCACTTTCAGTCAAATTCCACCCACCCTCGATAAAGGTCCCTGAAATTTAATGGTTCAATAAACGTCCAAGTAAATTTCCCGCGGTAGACGTCTCACAAGTTGTCCTCATCGAGCGTTTAATCGATCATCGGCCCGTACGAAAAAGCTTGCATCGATTTGCATGTCGGAGTGGCTTAGTCAGCATCCAACAGGCCCGTTACCTTCGCTAAACGATCTGTCATCCGCGTTACCTTTTCTTTTAACGAGTTCACGATATTCGAAATCAATTTGAACAGTTACGTACGATACGATAAAATTGCTATTTTGAATTTTTATTCGGAGGAGAAACGTATTAAATCTTTTTTAAAATCTTTCCATTTGTCATTTTCGATGCAATTTTTAATTATTATAATCGATTTCATAAATCTGTCAGATTTATTGTTTAATTTTTCGATTACCAATTATTTTAGTAGGAATTAGTAATTGATAATTTTTCTAAAGTTCTTTTCTTTTTTTTACGCATAATAAATTAATCCTTGTACAACTTTACGAAAGAAATTTAATTTTAAATAGATTATTCTGTTTCAAAGATGGTGATGGAATAATTTTCGTTGCCTTACAAGGATCGTAAGTGGTAATTTAAAATAATCCCAATAAATAATCTCGATTACTAGGCACAGAGATAGAAATCCTGCAGAAAGTAGTTGAAATAATCGACAAATAAGGATACACGATCGTATTGGCTTAAACTACCGGTAATATCGTAAAACGTGGCATAAAATTTCCCAAATCGATATTCGAAAAATCGCAGCCAAGTATATGTACTTGCTTATCGCGAGACTCTCTCTCTCTCTTTCTCTCTCTCTTTTCGAGACGGCAAACGTATTAACCTGTTGCTACGCGAGAGCATCGCGAGAATTCGAAACGAGGGCGATAAACGTCGCGATCGTTTCGAAAGAAACCGGTTGTTGCGTTGTATTGAAAAAAAAATCCCAATATCCCGGCCTAGAATTTCACCTTTATATTTCACATCTTTACATATTCTAAGCGCATCGATTCTATAAACTGTAACGGACACGATTTTTTCCCTTCCTCCTCCGGTGTCCAACTTCAACTCCTTTGCCTAAGAAACGGTGAAGAAAAGTGGCTCGTTAATGGAGTACACAGCGCGCGAGATCGTTGCCGTGGAATCAATTCAGAATCTTCCTTCGTAGGCCTGCGAGGAAGAAACTTGAAAAAAAAAAGAAAAGAGAGAAAGAGAGTGTACAAACAGCGAGGGAAGAAGCATAAGCGTCTCCCGTTGAAAATTCTTTTTTCAATTAAAGGAACGTGGGATTGTATCGAATACCCGGATATCTAATTGCAATATATATTTCCTGGAAACGGATTGAAAGAAATGGCCGTGTGCTCATCCCTGTGTCAATAGAGCAGAAGCAATTAATGATGTTTCGTGACGTGCAACCTTGCACGAATACGAGGATGACGAGAGGACGTGAAATACGAGGAAGCAACAAAAAAAGAAAAAGAGACAGGAATTTTTTCACAGAGTGTAGAGAGAGAGAGAGAGAGAGAGAGAGAGAGAGAGAGGGAGGGAGGATGGGATTAAAACAGGAAATGGTAAGTTTTCGCCACCTCGAAATTGTTATTCGCCACCTCGAAATTGTTTTTCGCCATCTCGAAATTGTTATTCGCCACCTCGAAATTGTTATTCGCGATCGATTTATGAACGCGATATCTCATGGCGGGGGGGGCTCGTTAGGGAGGACGCGCCGACAAAGGAAACGGATTCCAGGCGGGGGAACCGATTCGAGTTTACCGTCGCGAGAAGGGGAAAGTTGCAGCGACAGCGAGGGTTGCTGAGAATCGCGGGGCAAGGGCGATATATCGAGGCTTCATTAATAGTAATAACGTGCCCGATTCTCTGCACCGCACTTTGTCTTTTCCACGTGGATCGTTATTGATTCTTCGTTGATATCCAGACTTTCGTTGGAAATAATTCGCGGAAGCGTTAAAGAGTTGTTACTCGCCCGTTTTTCTTTTTGTAATTGGAATTTTTTTTTTTTTTTTTTTTTTAGGTTGTCGGATGGGGATAGATAGATCGAGGTTGAAACGTGAGGTTAGAGAAATTAAAATGAAAGAAGGATCTGAAGGGGTGAGGGGAGGGGGGAGGGGGATTGTATCCGCAATGCGGTCTAAATGTTCGAAAGAATTTTTGCCAGTGAAAATTCAGTTGGGTTTGGGTCGAACTGCAGTAGGTATATTAATTTATGCAATTATGCGAGTGTGTTATTGATATTTTTATGCGTTTTTTTTTTTTTTTTTTTTTTTTTTTTAATAAGAATTCGTGAATATCGAAATGGGGATTAACTTAGGGTCCCGAGTTGGAACGATAACGAATTGGAAATGATCGTCGATCGAAACGATAGAAAATTCGAATTGAAAAATTTCGACGTACAGATTAAAAATGTAAAATCAAAGGAAAAAGGAAAGGATTTATACGATTATTTTAGAATTCGATAATTTATACATTTTCGTGATATTATTATTATTATTATTATTATTATTATCGTTTATAATTCATTTTAATTCAATTCTATTTAAATTTCATTATTTGCAATATATTCGTAATATTTTATAACAAGAGAAAAACTTTTGTAATTCTACATCAGATGTACGTATTTATTTGACAGTTTCTGGTTTTAAATAAAAAATCATTGGGACAAGAGTTTTCGCAATTCAATTTGTTTTTTACCTCTAAAAGCAAAAAAAAAAAAAAAATATATTTTTACACGTCTCTACATTTCGAAATAAAATTTGTTTAAATCGTTCGATATTTTCTTCGACGATAATCCCCCTCCCCAAAAAAAAAAAAGAACTTGGGGAGAGCATCGTCAAGTTTCATCGATGCCCCAGTTCCCCCCCCGGGAGAGTACACGTTCCGCGCGACGCACAAGTTCGCGTAGAAATTAATTCATTTACACGCGAGTTACTTCGTTACCCGGTTCGAAGCACAGACTAACGTCGTTTTCGCGACGAGCTCGCAATCTGTAGGAATTTCATCTTACAATGATAACACCGGCCTCCTCTCTCTCTCTCTCTCTCTTTCTCTTTCTCTCTCTCTTCTCTGCCGGATCGAAAGGAGGAATTACGACGTCGCGGATTCGTCCAAGGATGGAGAGCAAAGTTTGGCCGATAATATTAATGGTCCAGCCACCTATGCGCGACCGTTCTGTTTCTCGATGGCTTAGCACAGATTCCTTCCGTTATAACCTCGAATTCCCCGCCATTAATTCTCACGGAGCCTCTGCCCACTCGCGGCACAAAGCTGCATTCTCCCTTCGCGTTGTTCCGGTGCACCTGCACTCGATATCCGGAATTATACGTATTATACGTTTATTCTAGCCTCGAGTATTCGATGGCAAACGACGCAAATTTTACCGTTTTAGTTGGGCAATAGAAGCTCGAATGTATGCATAGAATCGATGGGAGTCGCGCGCGCGCGCAGCCTCGATAATCGAGCTACCGATGCCGAAGCTGTACGAATTTATCGTTACACGGGATTCGACGTGTTCCTCGTACTTGATTCCATTCGTAATTTCGGAAATTTTCTATAATATCGGAGAGTTGCGAATCGTTTAATCCAAATTATCCAAATTATTTCTTCGGACAAATTTATGCGCGATTGGAAATTTATCGTTGCACAATATTCGACAGATTTATTCGTACTTGATTATTATACCGGTAATTCGAATTTTCCCATAAACGCGGATCGCTTTATTCTCGATTATATCGTTCGATTTTTTTTCGATTCTTGTTCAACGAGTGTGACGAGTAAAGCGATTAATCTCGGACGTATACGCGTCTCTTTTCCTTCTATTACGATTTAAAAATTCTATTTGAGAGAGAGAGAGATTTAATAGTTAATTTTTATTTAAACACATCCTCGACTTTAATCGTCTTTGATTATCTTTCACGAATAATAATCGATCCACGGCCAATTCTTTCCTAATTATCGAACAACGAAATGAATCATCGAACACCCTTGTAAGTGCTCACGCGAATATCACTGTTCCCATTGCGAAACGCGAATATTCACCCGACGCGATGATGATGAAATCGCGCGAGTGTCAATGATAATACTCAATTTCAGAGAATTTCAATTTACACGGGCCGCCGTTCGAATCGTAATTCCAACTCCATCGACAATTTATCGAGCCACGCGTACAATGTCCCGAAAGCGTCGGTGTGCTCACGTTTCGTTAGCCATGAGATCGCTCACTCTCTCTCTCTCTCTCTCTCTCTCTCTCTCTTAGTTTTCGCGCAACCATAGCAAAATCGTAAATATAACGCGGCTTGGAGTGGAGAAACGGTGGACAATATCGCATCAAGATAAGAGTTGCCCGGTTCCTGGTAACGCCGCCGTGTTGCCTCGTGAAACAATTTGATCGTTGCCGAAGATAGGAAAACGTTGAGGTAGTCCTAACTCTTCGGTGGTGGGAGAAGAGAGGGGGGATGCGGAGGTCGTATACGAGAACGTAAACCTAGCTCTATCCGACGGATTCATATCTAGCGCTTAGCTCGGTTATTTAGCCGTTTATGATCCGGTGGCGAGGACGAAGCATCGATACAACTCTCCCCCCTTCCTTTTTTTCTTCACCTAGTCGGTCGTATACTCTTGGCCCTGTGCCAAGAGAACGCGTCTCGAAGACGATAGTTTAACTCGATTTCTCTCGTTTGTTTCAGCCCAATGCATCGCGCCGCTCGGCATGGAATCGGGCGCGATCCCGGACGCGGATATCACGGCAAGCTCCACGTTCGACACGGGAAACGTTGGCCCCCACCTGGCACGGTAAGCGAACCTATTTCATCTCGATGGCCAACCATTCGTCACCCATATCTATCCGGTGACTTCTGTTGTCGTTGCGTCGCCCTGCCCGTTCAATCGCGATCGACCGCCACGCGGCAACGATACACCTACGTGTATGTGTATATACTATATACTGCACCTGCTTCGCGAACCTTAGATACAATTTCACGAATTTCTTTTTTCCCGTTGACCGAGAGTTTTGACTCGAGAGTTTCCTCGCTCTTAAATTTTTGATTACGATTTTTTTTTTTTTTGTCAAGTTGTCGAATCAATTTAAGATTCTCGAGTGGAATAACCGAATTCTTTCGACTCTCGTAATTTTGAGATCCTAGTCGGTTCGAGTCGAGACTATTATAGGCTCAGATTCAATAGGATTTTTTCGCTCTTTTTGGGTATGATTTTTTTTTTTTTCAAGCTCTCGAATTATTCGAAATTATCGTCGATCGAATAAGCGTACATAAGATTCGTGGAATATCCGAATTTTTGAGATTCTAATCGATTGAAGTGGAGGCTAGGCTATTATAGGCCAGATTCAATAGGATCCTGCGTTTATGGTTGACGCGATACGCACACAGCCTCTGATTCCGCGAATGGCCGTTATAACGATGGATTTCGCGAGACAATGGGTTCAGAGAAGACGGTTTTGCGCGATGAAATTGCGTCTCGTCTAAAGCGTGACGAGGAGATCGAGGGTTTTAGTCGATCGGGGAGAGAAATTTGAGCGGAGATACCTTGGGGAGGGGCGAAATTTGAAACGAGGAAGGGAATTTATTCGACGAGGCGAAATAAGTTCGATAATAATAATAAGTTTGAATTGCGTTCGAATGATTCGAAGATTCGGATGGTAAGTACGATCGTTGTACGTGTCGATCCGATCGTGGCGCGTGGTGGAAAGTAGCAAGTTGCGAAGAATTCCATTTGTCGGGGATAGAAATAGGATTTATTTGCTTTGTTTAACCGATGGGGGATAACGGAAATATTGTTTCCCATCAATCCGTGGAACGTGACCAAAGCAAGTGAAAACTTGGCAAAAGTATACATACATGCATATATATATATATATATACGCGCGATAGTTTATGGAAGATTAAAGAGACGCTTATCGCTGCTTTATTCGTTTCAAAAATATAACCATCGTTTATATAATCGATGCCGATCAGAAAATAGAAGAGTAGGATGTCTGGTAGAACTCGGATTAAGCGATCTCGCGATACACGCGAGGCAGGGAAAATTTATTGGCCTCGTTTCCTCCGCGAAATATTATCTTACGTTTAAATCACTCGTGGTGATCGAACGTTGCAAAGAAACGACTCCCCACCGGGGAGGGGGGAGTCGTCCTTTCGAGATTTCGATTTACTTACGCTCAATTATACTAAGATAATTACTCGACGTACGACGTCGTCCGAGCGGTTATCGGGTGAATAATTCATACGGTGGCGATGCGTGTCGAAAAGCAGGAGGGGGAAGAAGAGGAGGAGGAGGAGGAGGAGGAGGAAGGAAATTCGCGGAGACGTACGGTGGAAAGGTAAATCAACGGCCCCCTCGTGACGTGGCAGACAGTTTAATCGCGGTCGAAAACTCGGCTCGGAGGAGGAAAATTAATATTTCAGGATTCGTTAATAGGGACACGGATTCCCCGCCACGCGTTCCCTATGAATACTAAAAAACGCGACGCGGCACGGGTTAATACGCGAAATCCGGTTTGTCGAGTTTGCGTGCGCGACGCGAAACACGTTATCACGCGTAAACAAAGAGGGCAGAGCGGAGGTAATTATTTCTAATCTGACCGCGTCGGCTTTTTTTCCCCCTCCGTTTTATACGGCGAAAACCTCGCGACGACTATGCGACCGTTTTTCAGCCGTCGCGCGGCTAAAATGAAACGAAAATGAAAGAATGGGAGGGGAACAAAAAAAAAAAGAAAATTGGATTAGATATTTGTTTTTGAGGATACGTGTTTTAATACGAGTTTTCTATATAAATTTATAGAAAAAAATAACTTTGATCACATCGATTTTAAGCGGTATAAGAGAAAATAAAATCGTGCTCGCGTCACGATTATGAAGAAAAAGAATTTCTAACGAATATTAATCGATTGCTTTATTTTATTTGGATACGTTAAGATCGCAGAAGGCAAGAATTCGTTATTCACCGATTATAAAATTAATTTATCTCGTTCGTTTCTAGAATCGAAAAAAGAAAGTCGAAATAATTCTTGGCGCGCACGTTGGAAAAAAGAAGGGAACGGAAAGGAGATTCGATTCTCGAGTTGCCGCTGGAGAAAGTTGATGAATTCTAATCGGAAGGGTGATGCATATTCCAGGAAGAATAAATCCCCGAGATACAACAACGCGCAATTAAATCTCACGTGTCTCTCCCATACTTTTTCGCGTCGCCCGCTTCTAATTAATATTTACGCGGAAACTCTTCCTTTCGCGGCCTGTGTTTATCGAAGCCGCGCCCCGCGCAATTAATCCAGCCGGACGATAGTTGGATAATTCCGGGCTGATCGAACCTCGTGCAAACCTCGTTCCATATTCATCGGCCTTCCATTCATGCGATCACGTAGCCCCCCCCCCTCCTCCTCTTTTGTCCGCTAATAAGCAATTTTACATGACAATGCGGTATAACAATGCGCGGAGCGCATAGAATGATAGAGCGAGGGATTGAATAATTCGAAGAAATTTAACGGCGAAACGAATTCCACTCTTTCACCCTTTTTCCTTTTTTCTTTTTCTTTTAATCGATAGATAAAACGGGACGGAAGCTTTTGGGAATTCGCTCCATCCTTCGCAAAAAATTTATCGTTATACAACAATGAATCCGTCCATCGTGAAAATTACTTTACACTTTATCTAAACCTTTCGCCTAAATTTTATTATATACCTCGAACCAATTGGCTGGTTTCAACTCCTAGGACAGTTTCAATCTTTCGACGAGTTGAAACGATTAAAACACTCTTCTATTCTTTCTCTACGCGTCCGGATATGAAATTCGAATCAATCGCACCTTATTCTTTCATGTCCGCGAAAAAGCGGGTTGCTCCTCGAGCAAGCAACCCTGATACAATTATCACGGGGGAGACGTTTGACGGGCGAGTGGGACGGTGGAAAAAGAAGAGTCGGCGGCCCTCGCAACCCGTGCGTGCAACCCGCGAATCCGAGAGCGCATGCGCCGCTGGTCCTCTCCCCTCCTCACCGCTTCTCTCTCCCCTTCTCTCCCCCCTCCTCCTTCCATCGCCGCCGTTTAGATATTAATGCGTAGGGTCCAGTATTCAACGGCGGTTGTTGCAATGCAACAACGGTTTATACGAATATCCCGTCCCGCGGGACGTATCCGGTCTGGTTTGGCGGTGCTGCAGGGCTGGAACCTAGATCCGACGCGGGGTGGAGGGTGGTGGAGGGTGGGAGAGAGAGAGAGAGGGCGTCGGCCCCGCGGGCTCTCCGATATTAATACATTCCATTACCGCAGACAATGACCGGGTGAATGGGCCTCTGACTCTTGATGAGCTCCGGGGCGCCCCCGCACTGTGCAACCAACAGCCTCCTTCGCTCGTCCGCGTCACCGTCTAATTTAATACACGCCGCGGCGCGGGAAGGTGGTTGAAGGGACGTTCCTCGATACGATGATCCCCGGATATAATACGAGCCGTGTGTGGGCATGATAAATTGAAATCGAAGGGGAGGGGGAACACTTGGATTTTTGAGCGATGTACGTATGGTTATTTTTTTATCTAAGGGGTTAGAATTTGAAATGAGGGATTTTCTGTCTTAGATAGAGGTATTCTGGATATATATATATATAATTGATTGATGTTTCAATTCAAATCGAGAGAATATAGTGATAGTTTCGAGAGAGATAGTCGAAGTGCACGAATCGCGTCACATCGAGATATGGAAGCAAACGCGTCGTTTCCACTTGTACGCGTCGAAGGGGAAGGAAAGAAAAGACTCGTGGATCAGGAAAGCGAAACGTTTCAATTAAGATCCAGCGTGTGAGTATATCGATGTATATGCCACCAGGGACAACCTGGTCAACCTTGGAAAGCCGTTTGGAAATTTGAGAGAGCGGAGCATAGCATTTCGAAGAAGGTTAAAGATCAACTCAGAATGGAGAGAAAGAGAGAAAGAGAGAGAGGAAGAGAGAGACGCAGCTGAGATGGGAACAGCGTTGAAAATGCCAAAAATAGATAGGTCGAAGCTTGGAACGTGTCGAAGTGGCGATAAATCCGTGTCGATCGACCGTGTTTCGCAATGGCGACACGGGTCTATATATATATACGAATGAAGGATTGAAAAAGAAAGAAAGAAAAAAAAGAGGAATTGCCTCGGACAGGATCGAAAAGTTGGCGTCAAACACGGTGTAATTTAATTGGAACGTTTATTCGTTCACCCTCATATGTTAAGGACCGGCCGTTGAAAATGCGGTGGCGCGATAATTTAATTTGAGCCGAGGAGGGCTGATCGATCGGCCAATCCCCAAAGACGCTTTTCCGCGCGGGATGAAGCGCGAGCGTGGAAAGAAAGAATGGAGAAACGAGAAAGAGTGGAGAAAAGGGAGAGAGAATGGAAGTTTTCCCTCCCTCGAATTTCTCTCTCTTTCTCTCCCGTTGAAAGGAGAAGTCCTGGGGAAGGGAGAAATCTGAGAGAGAAGAAGCGTGAAACGATCGTTTTCCACATGAAACGCGCCCACAACACAACAATTTTCGTAAGAGAAGCGGCTGCTCCTCTCCTTGAGAATCGTCCTCCCTTTCGCGCGTCTTCCCTCTCTCTTTCCCTCTCCCTCTCTCTGTTTCCCTTTTCTTGCCGTATTCTCGTTCAACGGTATTTCCAGAATGGGCGCAATTAAGATGCTGGTAAGAGAAGACTGGTGTACAAGAAGACTCCTCCGTTCCCGGGGAGAAATTGCGCCGGGGATTGAAAAGTCAAAAGGCAAAGTCGCGACCGATTCGGCGGGCAAATTCAATTGGAATTAGCCCGAGGAGA